CACGCTTTTGCCTCAAAATCCGTATTAAGAAAAGGACAAATTGAATGCAATCAACTCCATTAAATTCAACTTTAAGATCAATCCATTGGTCGGGTCCGTCTTTTATAGATTCTTCTACGTTCCACAAACCGTCTGGTAGTTTATACACACGACACCAAAAACGATCCAAGTCATGGGGAAAATCAGGATCTATACAATTAGTGACGGCAATTCTCTTTCCGTCTAGGAAGAACTTAAGTTGAGAAGTGCGAGCATGAAAACAGTTTATGCAATATACTGGTTTCGGTAACTTTCCGACCTGATGCTCATGTAATGCAAAAACAATCAAAGCAAAATTGGTAATATGATTTCTAAGACTACGACAGAGTGCTGCACTTGCAGCTATTAAAGAACCGTCCCAGGAAACGGCCCATTTTGTATCTGGGCAAAAACGTAACACATATTTTTTCGAGTTCCTTTCAAATTTTATATCCATGAACTTCTTCACATCAGATTTAAAATCTTCACTGATAAGTCCTAGTGCATCGCTCCTGTGACTGTACAAGAAACTTTTCATTGATGAAAAATAACACAAACAACGTATTTCCATATTTGTTTCAATGTTGACAACATGCGATGGTAAAATACCGTCTAGTTTCTAAATAAAAAAGAGAGGTTTTAATCTTAATGTGAAAAGCTCACCAGAAGATCAATACATTAAATATTTTATTATTTATACCTCGCTCATACATATCTCATATTCAGGAAAGCTGGGAGATGACGAACGTTCAGATTCGTCATCAGATGAATTGGAAGACATCGCGCAACTCTTTTCCAAAACCTGGAAAAAATCGATTTTATTTCGAAATCGCTACCATTCTCCTCTCGGAAGCATGATTTTGCGAAAGAGTTTGGACACAGGAAGTAAAATTTCCTGGTGTCCGCCATTTTTGTTTTAAAAATAAGCAAATATCTGGCAAATATAGGGAATTGAATGGTGAAAAGACAAATTTTCCGTTTTGTTTTCTTATTCACGAATAGACAGCGATATGGTTTACTTTAAAATCGGAAAATCGTCAAGCTACGTTCTTAGATACCTGGCGCTCGACGTTTTACACTCAATTATTTAACTGAAGCTAATTTTCCAGAGTTTTGGAGGTAAAACAAGTCAATAAGCGGAAACTTTCAGTGCAAAATATTCCCCCGTTCAACGTTACGCAAGTCACCCATTCCTCATTAAAATAAAAGCATTTGAAATGGTGAATAGTTTAAAATGCAATTGGTAAACTATTCTTTAGAAATGGTCAACGAACAAGCGTCATTTTTGAGTTACCTCGAAAATGAAATAGGCTGTTGCATGGCCTACTTAAATTACGCGGCCTGATATCTTGCCATAGCAAGGCCAAAAATGCAAGCCCATTGAATTTTCCTGCGGTGCTCTTCGAAATTTTGATCTTCTTCCTTCAAAATTGTTCATTGGCCTTACTTTATGGTATAATCTTGTAGCTAAAAGTCTAGCAATCATTTCAAGAGTTTATTGGCTGAAATTGGTCCATTTTTCGCCGAGAAATCAAAGTTTATAAATTGGTGCGATCGGCGGTTGTTTTGTTTATCACGCGCTCGTCTTCGATTTAGATGTTGATGTATACCCAAAGTCAGGAGTATGTAAAGGTAAGTTAGTAGATGGAATTTTAACTTGTTCAGGTTGGTTAGTAGCATCAGAGAGTAGTTTCCATTCAAACTTGAAAGACAGTTTCTCTTCAGCAAAGGAGGAGGACCAGGTAGGTTGTACAAGGTTGTAGGCTGATAGTATGTTAAGTAGAGATTTTGGGAATTCATGAGAACTGTTATTGTTCTTTTCAACATACCATTCTATTTTAAGTTTGATCGATTTATTGTTTATATTGATGTCCCAGGATGGAGAAGAACCAATACCAAGATTTCCAATTAATGAGGAAGCTTGAAAAGGTCAGGGATAGTATGATTTACCAATGAAATCGTTTGGATTTGATGAAATTTTCTTAGGCGTAGTTGGAGTAGGAAGGACACCGTTGAAAATAGGAAGCAGCATCGCTATAATTATGGGTTTGAAGATTTTCGTAAATAAAAGAAAAAATGTATACAGTTCGACTCCAAAAATCTTGTAGAAATGTAGAGGAGAGTACCAGGAACACGTAGATACCAAATATAGATAATCCACGATAGATTTAAAGGCTGAAACACACTAGGCAGTCGCTTTAGTCGCGCGTCTAAAGCTACCGCTTTGCGTGGTTACTAAGCTAGTAGCGTAGTCGCGTCAGCTAGTCGCAGTTCAACATGTTGAACTTTTGACTTTGGTCGCTTCAGTCGCTTTACACTGATTGGCCAATAGATACATTTTAACTTCCTAAATGCATATCATATTCCCTGTCATATGCATCATACGAAATTTATAGATTATACTTTGGAAAACGAAGGCAATATATAGTGAATTCACACTGGAATCTTTCAGTTTTTATATGACTTATCAAATAGGGACAATAGGAGCTACAAACTGGAACCCTAATGCACAACCTAAGTGCGCAGAATAAGATTATCCGCAATATACGCGTAATGGACTATGATCATATTGGCGTGCTTTAACTGGCTTGTTCTCTTTTCTCCACATAGTAGTTTGTACTGAGTAAATATTCATATATTAGTAGCTATAATAAAGGCCAAAATAAAAAGTTTAAGTGATATCTGTGTCTGTAACAAACTAAAATCACCGCCATGTGCAATAGACGCCACGGTAAAAGTCGCGATGGTCGCTGCTTGTGTGTTTCTAGCGTTCAAGCGACTGACGCGTGCGCATCAATTCGCTTTGGACGCGCGACTGAAGCGACTGCCCAGTGTGTTTCAGCCTTAAGAGCTAAAATTTTCGAACTAAACGTAAGAGCTAAAATTTTCGTAAGAGCTACGAGCTCTATTTCGTAAGAGCTACGAGCTACGATACGTAAGAGCTAAAATTTTCGAACGAAGACGAGCGCGTGATAAGCAAAACAACCGCCGATCGCACCAATTTATAAACTTTCATTTCTCGGCGAAAAATGGACCAATTTCAGCCAATAAACTCTTGAAATGATCGCTAGACTTTTAGCTACAAGATTATACCACAAAGTAAGGCCAATGAACAATTTTGAAGGAAGAAGATCAAAATTTCGAAGAGAACCGCCGGAAAATTCAATGGCCTTGCATTTTTGGCCTTGCTATGGCAAGATATCAGGCCGTGTAATTTAAGTAGGCCATGGCTGTTGTGTTGTATTGATTGCTTTAGCTTTGCTATACTTCCCTTTAACACGATGAAAACAGCTAAAATTCACACTTACCAGAATAAATATTGTCAGAGCACGTTTCAATGAAGACGACATGAAACTAAAATAATTGATTTTAACGACCACGAGGTAGAAAAGGTCTGACGTCTGAATCTATTCTATCCAATAACACATATCCCAGAAGTCAGCATTAATATTTAACACGTCAATTACCAGTGTGATCAGGGAAAAGACCCTTATATTTCTTAATATAAGTTTTAGTATTACCTTATATTTCCTTGAAATATGCAGTAAGATTTTAATTTATTATATTTTATACAAAAACCACTCTATATCACGGTCAAAAACGAAGTTAAGTGAAACTTCATTAATGTAAACCCAAGTCCATTGCTGTAGAAACAGATTATTGGGGACAATGGACGTTCCGTATAGGCCGATGTCATTAGCACTGACGGGTATAAAGAATTTGATATTGTCAAACTTTGATAATTCTTGTAAAACCCGTAGTTAAGTCTTGATCTTAGCTTATATCTGCTCGTTGGCGGTCTTATAACTATATCTAACCGCATTGATATATAAGTCAATTTCTGCTCCAATTTCTGCGTGCATAACATTTAATAACACTGTATGGAATTCATTCTTATATATTATCTTAATTACATCTGAATTACCCACTTCACCGCCTAATTAAACAATTCAATGACCTTGTTAGCCGTAAAGATTGACAAAACAATAAACTGCCTCTATCTCAATCTTCATCGGAGTGAGCACCTACAGTGGCACTAAGGTCAAACTCGATGCATTCTACAGCTGTTTTGCGAGTTCGTTCGCTGGTCAAAATAAAACTAGCTTGCGAATGTGAGATGAGTTTGTGAGCTTTTGCTTGCATTTTTTCCTGGGCTGCTCCAGTTTTCTTTCTCTGGGAAATTTTGTAAAAGGGTTGATATTTACAGAAAGTATGGCGTTCAGGGAGAACCGTTATAAAAGATTCTTCTGAGGTTAAAACAGCGTAGACGAGATTAATATGAATTCATTGTTCGTATACCGGAGTATTTAAATTTATTACTCCTTAAAAAATAACGTTTTGGCTGCGTTTACACTATACCGGATTAGCTCATCACGACATCTTCATTTGCTTTAAAAGGGATAACTGTTCGGAGTAAAAGCTTATTAAGCGGATAGATTTAGTCTATTTGATCGTGTTTCTGACGCTGAACAATTTTACTGCCTTTTAATATAAAGAATATTCAACCTGCTGCGATAGCAATCCGGTATATTGTAAACGGGGCCTTAATGAAGACGTGTCAAAAAAAAGCATGGAAAAATGTCGTCGTTTTATATTCGCGTATTGCGTAATGATGGGTATTACCATTATATGCCAAGTAAGGACCAAATTCATTTCCTTATCACAATTCTGCATCCATGTTCTCGATCATATGTTATCAACTTGGGCTAAGTCAGATTAGCACTAGCCTCCCACCCTCCCTCCAGCAATTAAAGTCTTTTTTCAAACTGAAATAGTTCTCTTTCATTTAAAAACATTGTAAAGCTTTTATATTGGCAAAATCATCTATTATATTGCTGTCTCTCTCAAGCCATGAATTCCATGCTTCTTTCTTGCAACAAGAATCTTTTGCTCTTTAACAAACAAAACAAAATTTTGCTGGTTTTACTTTCCTTTCATAAATAAGAATGTATTATACATTTTATATTTTACGCATATCTCTAATTGCTCTCAATAAGCCGATAAAATGTCGAGTTTTTAAATTGACGGGTCATAGACAATAGCGCACCAGCCTTCGACTTTATATTGTTTTGCCAAGATTGTGTAATAAGGACGTCTCTCTATATCAACACCTTCCACAAAGCAACATCCGAAAAAACCAACGGAAAACAGTTTATCTCCGGTCGGAGAAAATGTCACATGGCTAATAGAGTCACAATGCATATCGAAATCTTGAAAGCTACCTTTATCATAATCAATTACTTTCACTAGTCGATCTAAAACAAAAAGAAAATTACAGACAGCAAAAATACCTAATTAAGTGATTGTAAACTAAAGCATTGGGCGTCATTAATTCTCGAGGAAATAAAAGAAGCGCTGAAAAGAAATAAAAAACTTTTAACGAGAATTTCACCTAGTGCTTTTTTTATTCATATTTCCGACGTAGCTACGTCAATTTGGGACGTTTTTTTAGACTTAAACTAATTTATACCTTTGGTTCCAACAGCAATTAAATGACCCTTAGGCGATATTTCCAAGCAAGAAGCCCATGGTGTCAACAAAATAGTTCGAAAAACCTGACAATGAACACATTTCCATCAATGATGGACATTTTGTCTGCTCCAAGCACAGACCTCTTACAAATACTGACCTTTCTCTGGGACAAGCTGTAGAATTGTATCAGTTTTCTCAGACCATAACCACTGTACACAATAACATCGGGCTCTGTTGGCGAGAATCTTGCCAAACTTGGCGGTAGATGCAAATACGCAGACTTCAAAGGGAGAAAACATGCTTATTTCAAACTTATTAAAACAGTTTTCCATAATAATTTATTTATCTTTCATTATCTTGAGCAACTACAATCAAGACAGGAAACAAACTACAATTTCTCACCGCATCGTCTTTTTTCAAAGCAATTCCTTCAGGTGTTATATTTGGAGCGGGAAAAGTTAACCAATCAACAAGCTCACAGAAATCCTTCGACCAATCGGCCTTCCATACGCTAACCCTACGATCAGCGCTCGCAATAAGCCACAATCTGGGCGAATTGAATGATGGATGATCGTTCTAAATACCGAATGTGTAACAAGGTTTTGATTATTAAAAAGCTCTTAATGTGACTGAGCGCGAGGTCTTTACAGAGAAACAATGGACCGAAGTTTTTTTGTACAGACCGCTCCCGTAGGGCGAGGTTGTACAAAAAAGACAGAGGTCTGATATTTCTCAGTAAAGACCGAGAAAGCGAGGTTATTAAATAGATTATTAGATGGCATTATTTGACCTGAAACGAAGCTTGCTTTCTTTCTCGTCGTTGCTGTTTTTACGGGTTAATTTTCACTTTTCTAGCTTTCGTCCATAAAAAATAAACTCGTTCCATAATTGTATCGTCTAGATAGTTTTCCAAGTGTTTTTCTTTCGAATTAAATTCGTAAATGGTTTTTGTTTCGTTTTTTCCGCGTTTTGCTGTTTGCTTTAAGATGTTTGTTTACATTTGACAGTAAAATTACGCGTTTTGGACCGTGGTCGATTACGGGAAAATAATGGACCGGCAAAAATGTTTATGATCCAATCAAAGCGCATCATTTAGCCGGAAGTGACGCTTGCCATATAATAATCATCATCAATAACCAGTAAGATGTTAAGTTTGGTAAATATTGCGAAAGTGCTTCAAAAACATTTTGAAATAGGTTAAGATGTTTTATTCATAAAACAACATAAATAAACGTTTCCACTGATTGGCCCATAGCTGAGTTTTTATTAGTTTGCGTGAACTGATCTGAGCTCAATTAATTAATCAATCAAAGAGACTTTGCATATCAATCATGAATACATGTTAAAGCAAAAATAAAAACAATTCTCTGAAACTTTCGCATTATTGCTATTTTAGATAAGAAATAAAAGATTTTTTTGTGTTGGCACAGGCTTATGCAAACCTTGGAGAGGCTCATGACAACTCTAAAAACAGTTGCACTAATCTGCTTTCAAGTTCTCCCAAAGAACTCTTCCGTTTGCATAAGCCCTTACAAACACAGTGAAAATCTTTTATTTCTTACTCATTTCTATTTTTCGCAAAGTGTTTTTCATTGTACCTTATGTGAAGCAATGTCCATATCAGTGATTGGTGCTCCCTTATGATCTTGGATTAAACGGACAGTGAGGCCAGTAGCAGGACTACTTATGGCTACCACACCATCTGTACTATCACTCATAAAAACACGACATATACAACAAATTCATTTCTAAGGTACGTCCAAATTGTCAATGCTCAGTTTGACCATTAGAGTTGAACTACAATTCGACTCGATGATTTTCATTCGACCGAATGCCTTATACACGGAGAATGTACTAAACGCGTTAAATGATCTGAGAAATGACAACAACATAGTCATCCTGAAACCGGATAAAGGCAACGGAGTTGTTATTCTGAATAAAAACGACTACCCCAATAAGTGATGGAAATTCTAGCGGACACATCGAAATTCGAACTTCTAAATGATGATGCCATCAAAATTACACTGAAACGCGAGAATCAAGTAAAGACGTTGCTGAGAAAACTAAAGGCAGAAAAATGCATAAATGAAAAAACATACAACGAACTTTATCCCACTGGTACACGTATCGGCATACTATATGGACTCCCTAAAATTCATAAATCCTCCATCCCTCTAAGACCAGTCTTATCTAGTATTGACCACTACTCCTACAAGCTAGCCAAATTCTTTATTCCTTTCCTTACACCAATCTCCGCCAGCTCCCATGTTATCAAGGACTCTTTCTCTTTTGTCCAAGATCTTTTACAAAGTGACATTAACGCCAATAACGTTATGATGGCGAGCTTTAATGTTAAATCATTGTTCACCAACATCCCAGTTGATGAAACAATCGCCATAATAACTAATCACATCTTCTCCAATAACACGTTCTTTCAAGGCCTTGACCGTTCACAATTCACTCAACTTCTCTCCCTCTCCGTCAAAAACTGTCATTTCTTCTTTAACGGCCAAGTTTTTCAACAGATTGATGGTGTGGCTATGGGCAGCCCCCTAGGCCCAGTATTTGCGAACATATTTATGGCCTTCAATACGAATTCATGGATTCACAACTGTTCCTCCACCTTCAAACCCCTTCTTTACCAACGTTACGTTGATGATTTCTTTCTACTCTTCCGATCATTGGATCACATACCTCTTTTCCTTACCTATCTCAACCACCAACATCTTAACATCTCTTTTACATCTGACCTGGAAAAAGACAACACGCTCCCCTTTCTTGACGTAAAAATAACACGCTCAAACGGCAAGTTTTCCACCTCCGTGTATCGTAAACCCACTTTCACTGGTCTCTTCACCAATTTCCATAGTTTCATTCCCATTCAATACAAACGCTCCTTGATCTCCTCTTTACTTCACACAATTTTCAACCTCTGTCCAGCTATGAACACTTTCATACCGAACTAGAAGTTGTTAGAAAATTGTTCACCTTAAACAACTTCCCTTCATACATATTTAACAATCATGTTCACCGCTTCCTCAACATTACATTTGAACCCAAAGATCTTATTCACACTGCTATTAAGAAAATCATGGACTTCTGTCTCCCTTTCACTGGCCTACACTGTCTTCAGATTCGCACTCAAATCACTCGACTCTGCAATGCTGCCTTTCCTCATATCAACGTTCGCTTTGTTTTTCTTTCTTTCAGGCGTCTCTCCTCATTCTTTCCTTTTAAAGATAGGGTTCCCAAGCTCCTGAGATCAGGTGTTGTATACTCATTTAAGTGTCGATGCTGCTCTGCATTGTATGTGGGCCAAACCACGCGTCACTTACACACCAGAATATCAGAACACTTGGGAATCTCTCCTTAACAGGAAGCCTTCCTTATGTCCACCACCTTCTGCAGTTCTTTCTCATATAAGAAATACATCTCACTCTGCCGATTTTAATGATTTCTCAATTCTCTCTTCCTCCTCCGACAATTACGACCTTATGATTCATGAAAGCCTTCTTATATCCAAACTTAAACCCTCTCTTAACACCCAAGGCAACTCGATCCCCCTTCACCTTCTTTAATACACCGCCATTCTCACTTAATTCCGTCATCTAAACTTCCTACTCCCCCTCACATGTAATTTAACACCCTTTAATATATGCTTGTATTTAAAACCTCGTGTATATAAATTAACTCAAATAATCTGAAGATGTCTTATTTAAGTTAAAGACGAAACGTTATTAATAAATCCTTCTCTATTTTATTATTGTGATGGCTTTTTAAAAGTCTTATGTTGGGCTATTATGTTCATATTAAAAAATTACCTAAAATCTACGGAATATTGAAAGTTATCTTTGTCTACTAGACTCACGTTCTAAAAGTCTTATAATGAAGCATTCCTTTCGAACTAATGTTAGAGAGAGCAAATCCCTTTTCTTCCTTTAAAACAAGAATTGCAGCTCAAAATGATTGATAAAGAAAATTAAACATTAGTAAAGGAATATTACATTTCTGTTAATGAATTAAACTTATATACACTATGTCTAGTCATAAAAGAGTATCTTTCATTTGTATTTTAGTGCTTTTGTTTAACAAAATTATTTAATTTTTAATATATAAATATTTGTCACTTCATGGCAAGCGTGACTTCCGGCTAAATGGTACGATTTGATAAGCTTAGAAACATTTTTGGAGATCCATTATACTCCTGTAATAGACCTCGGTCCAAAACGCAGAATTTTACACTCAAATGTGAAGAAACTTTGTAATGAAAACAGCAAAACGCAAACCAAACGCAAATAAAAAACTATTTACGAATGTGACTCGAAGAAAAAACACTTAAAAAACTGTTTAACTAAATATCCAGACGATACAATTTGAAACGATTTATTTTTTATGGACAAAAACATGAAAATTGAAAGCCAACCGGTAAAAATACAGCAAAGACGAGAAAAAAAGCAAGCTTCGTTTCAAGTTAAATAATGCCATATAATAAAGCTTTTAATAACCTCACTTTCTCGGACTTTACTGAGAAATATCAGACCTGATACAAAAGACCTCGGTCCGATATTTCTCTGTAAAGACCTCGCATTCGGATATTAAGCGCTTAATAATTTAGTTATTAAGTGTTTACGTATTTAAGTGTTTTATAAATTACTTTTGTGTACTTTATCATTTTGAAAATTTCTACTTCATATGCCCCTGGTGGAAATTAACGTAATTTGATGAGGTAGCTAAACGTCTTTGAATAAATATTTCATTTATCTATCCAAATTTGCATAATTTAAACAAAAGAAGTCCAGTTTTCGAATACACTCACGTGTTATGAATTAGCCAACATAGATTCAAATGCACATGTTTACAAGTTATAACCAATAGAAGTCCAGGTTTTAAGCATCACTGTTGTGATAGAACGCCCAACGGGCGATAGTTATTAAATGACATTCTCAAGTACAGTAAGAATAAATATACTTCAACTCTTTTTTTAAACAAAAAGGTATGTTGAGTTTTTCAATATTATTATAAGAGATAAGTGCTTTGATTGTGAGTAAACACAATGTTTGTAAATCGTAGACAACAGGTAACTTCCAGAAAAAAACGCGAGGATGAACACTTGTAACTGAAGCAACTTGACACAAATTACCAAAGAACGAGGTCAGACACTCAGATTTCGGACACTGTCGATCAGGATCATCAACGCAATCCAACGTATAACAAATTTGACCAGAACGCGAGCCAATAATGAACGTCTTAACAATGTAATCAATCGGACAAGCTATGGTAACAGCAATAAGTTTTCCGTCAGGAGAATAATTGATATCATTAAGCAAATCAAAGTAATTGTGATGTTTTGGGTGAACAGCTAACCTTTTCGATAGGCAAATTGGAAATTTTCAGAATTGTCAGAAAGATTTAAAACGCGCCACACACAAAAGCCCGTAACGATCACATATTGCAAATTCCCACGGCCAAATGCAGGATTGTAGCAGCATTTTCTAACTGCTGAATAATAATCGTAAACACGAACACGTTGTAGTAGTTTTAAACTGTCAGCGTCAAAATAGAACAGTTCACCATCAGTGCTTCCTGCCAAAAGACGGCTGGCATCAGGAGATAGAGCCAAACAACTAAAGCCATCAGCACGATACTCCGCCCGCAAATGTAAAAATCTTCAACATCACTTTCATTCCCACTTTCACGTCTTTCTTTTAACACTTGCTCGTCACGCTCATTAAACTCAAGATGCGTATTAAGTATAGGACAACCTAACTGAATGCAATCAACTCCACTATATTCAACATTAAGATCAATCAATTGGTCGAGTCCGTCTTTATAGAATCTTCTACGTTCCACAAACCGTCCGGTAGTTTATACACACGACACCAAAAGCGGTACAAGTAATGGGGAAATTCAGGATCCAAACAAATAGTTACTGCAATTCTCCTTCCATCTGGGAAGAATATAAGTTGAGAAATGCGAGCATCAACACAGTTTATGCAATATAACGGTTTAGGTAACTTGCCGACCTCATTATCTGGGATGGCAAAATAATCAAAACAAAATTGATAATATTATATCTGTGACGATGATTGAGTGCTGCACTTGCAGCTATTAAAGAACCGTCCCAAGAGACGGCCCATTTTGTATCAGGGTTAAAACCTAACACTTTTTTTCGAGCTCTTTTCAAATTTTATATCAATGAATTTCTTGACATCAGATTTGAAATCTTCACTTATAAGTCCTAGTGTATCGCTCTTGTAGCTGTACAAGAAACTTTTCATTGATGGTAAATAACACAAACAACGTATCGCCATATTTGTTTCAATGTTGACAACATGCGATGGTGGAATACCGTCTAGTTTCTAAATAAAAAGGAATGTTTTAATCGTAATGTGAAAAGCTCACCAGAAGATCAATACTTGAAATATTTTATTATTTATACCTCGCTCATACATATCTCATATTCAGGAAAGCTGGGAGATGACGAACGTTCAGATTCATCATCAGATGAATTGGAAGACATCGCGCAACTCTTTTCAAAACCTAAAAAATCGATTCTATTTCAAAATCGCTACCATTCTCCTCTCGAAAGCATGATTTTGCGAAAGAGTTTGGACACAGGAAGTAAAATTGCCTTGTGTCCGCCATTTTTGTTTTAATAATAAGCAAATATCTGGCAAATATAGAGAATTGAATGGTGAAAAGACAAATTTTCCGTTTTGTTTTCTTATTCATGAATAGACAGCGATATGGTTTACTTTAAAATCGGCAAATCTTCAAGCTACGTTCTTAGATACCTGGCGCTCGACGTTTTACCCTCAACTATTTAACTGAAGCTTAGTTTCCAGAGTTTTGGAGATAAAACAAGTCAATAAGCGGAAACTTTTAGTGCAAAATATTCCCCCGTTCAACGCTACGCAAGTCACCCATTCCACATTAAAATAAAAGCATTTGAAATGGTGAATAGTTTAAAATCCAATTGGTAAAATAATCTTTAGAAATTTGTCAACGAACAAGCGTCATTTTTAAGTTATCTCGAAAATAAAACAAGGCTGTTGTGTTGTATTGATTGTTTTAGCTTTGCTATACTTCCCTTTAACACGATGAAAACAGCTAAAATTCACACTTACCAGAATAAATATTGTCAGAGCACGTTTCAATGAAGACGATATGAAACTAAATGATTTTAACGACCACGAGGTAGAAAAGGTCTGACGTCTGAATCTATTCTTTCCACTGACATGTATCCCAGAAGTCAGCATTAATATTTAAAATTCAATTACCAGTGTGATTATGGAAAATACCCATATACTTCATGATATAAGTTTTAGTATTCCCTTATATATCCTTGAAATATGCAGTAAGATTTTAGTTTATTATATTTTATACAAAACCACTCTATATCACGGTCAAAACGAAGTTAAGTGAAACTTCATTAATGTAAACCCAAGTCCATTGCTGTAGAAACGGATTATTGGGGACAATGGACGTTCCGTATAGGCCGATGTCATTAGCACTTAAGGGTATAAAAATTTGATATTGGCAAACTTTGATAATTCTTGTAAAATCCGTAGTTAAGTCTTGATCTTAGCTTATATCTGCTCGTTGACGGTCTTATAACTATATCTAACAGCATTGATATTTGTGCTTCTAGTCAATTTCTGGTCCATTCATGTTCTGTGCGTTGCGTGCATTCATTCTTATCAATTAATATATTATCTGAATTACACACCTCACCCCATTCACTTTCTACGCCTAATTAAACAATTCAATGACCTTGTCAGCAGTAAAGATTGACAAAACAATAAACTGAATCTATCTCAACTTCATCTGAGCAGTGGCACTAAGGTCAAACTCAATGCATTCTACAGCTGTTTTGCGAGTTCGTTCCCTGGTCAAAATAAAATTAGCTTGCGAATGTGAGATGAGTTTGTGAGCTTTTGCTTGCATTTTTTCTCCGGCTGCTCCAGTTTTCTTCCTCTGGGAAATTTTGTAAAAGGGTTGATATTTACAGAAAGTATGGCGTTCAGGAGAACCGTTATAAAAGGTTCTTCTGAGGTTAAAACAGCGTAGACGAGGTTAATATGAATTCATTGTTCGTATACCGGAGTATTTAAACTTATTACTCCTAAAAAAATAACGTTTTGGCTGCGTTCACACTATACCGGATTTGCTCATCACGACGTCTTCATTTGCTTTAAAAGGGATAACTGTTCGGAGTAAAAGCTTATTAAGCGGATAGATTTAGTCTATTTGATCGTGTTTCTGACGCTGAACAATTTTACTGCCTTTTAATATAAAGAATATTCAACCTGCTGCGATAGCAATCCGGTATATTGTAAACGGGGCCTTAATGAAGACGTGTTAAAAAGCATGGAAAAATGTCGTCGTTTTATATTCGCGTATTGCGTAATGATGGGTATTACCATTATATGCCAAGTAAGGACCAAATTCATTTCCTTATCACAATTCTGCGTCCATGTTCTCGATCATAAATCTTGTTATCAACTTGGGCTAAGTCAGATTAGCACTAGCCTCCCACCCTCCGCCAGCAATTAAAGTATTTTTCAAGGGCTGCACTGAAATAGTTCTCTTTCATTTAAAAACATTGTTTGTATGGAAGCTTTTTATTGGCAAAAATCATCTATTATATTGCTGTCTCTCTCAAGCCATGAATTCCATGCTTCTTTCTTGCAACAAGAATCTTTTGCTCTTTAACAAACAAAACAAAATTTTGCTGGTTTTACTTTCCTTTCATAAATAAGAATGTATTATACATTTTATATTTTACGCATATCTCTCTATTGCTCTCAATAAGCCGATAAAATGTCGAGTTTTTAAATTGACGGGTCATAGACTATAGCGCACCAGCCTTCGACTTTATATTGTTTTGCCAAGATTGTGTAATAAGGACGTCTCTCTATATCAACACCTTCCACAAAGCAACATCCGAAAAACCAACGGAAAACAGTTTATCTCCGGTCGGAGAAAATGTCACATGGCTAATAGAGTCACAATGCATATCGAAATCTTGAAAGCTACCTTTATCATAATCAATTACTTTCACTAGTCGATCTAAAACAAAAGAAAATTACAGACAGCAAAAATACCTAATTAAGTGATTGTAAACTAAAGCATTGGGTGTCATTAATTCTCGAGGAAATAAAAGAAGCGCTGAAAAGAAATAAAAACTTTTAATGAGAATTTCACCTAGTGCTTTTTGATTCATATTTCCGACGTAGCTACGTCGATTTGGGACGTTTTTAGACTTAAACTATGTGGGATACGTAACCCTAAATTGTGATCTTAATTTTCTTCTCAGAAAACCATCGATAATCCAGTTTTACTAATGGAAGAAAACTAGATGAGAAAAATTGACATAAGTTGGAGTAGATAAAAAACTTTAACGATTTCAAACTATTATCTTTCAAGATATAGAAAGGATTTTCAAATCATTCAGTGTTGTTTTGCAGAACGTTGTAAAAAACTTCTTAATTTATACCTTTGGTTCCAACAGCAATTAAATGACCCTTAGGCGATATTTCCAAGCAAGAAGCCCATTGTGTCAACAAAATAGTTCGAAAAACCTGACAATGAACACATTTCCATCAATGATGGACATTTTGTCTGCTCCAAGCACAGACCTCTTACAAATACTGACCTTTCTCTGGGACAAGCTGTAGAATTGTATCAGTTTTCTCAGACCATAACCACTGTACACAATAACATCGGGCTCTGTTGGCGAGAATCTTGCCAAACTTGGCGGTAGATGCAAATACGCAGACTTCAAAGGAGAAAACATGCTTATTTCAAACTTATTAAAACAGTTTTCCATAATAATTTATTTATCTTTCATTATCTTGAGCAACTACAATCAAAACAAGAAACAAACTACAAGTTCTCACCGCATCGTCTTTTTTCAAAGCAATTCCTTCAGGTGTTATATTTGGAGCGGGAAAAGTTAACCAATCAACAAGCTCGCAGAAATCCTTCGACCAATCTGCCTTCCATACGCTAACCCTACGATCAGCGCTCGCAATAAGCCACAATCTGGGAGAATTGAATGATGGATGATCGTTCTAAAAACAAGGTTTTGATTATTAAAAAGCCCTTAATGACCAAGTGCTAGGTCTTTACAGAGAAATAATGGACCGAAGTTTTTTTGTACAGACCGATCCCGTAGGGCGAGGTTGTAGAAAAAAGACAGAGGTCTGATATTTCTCAGTAAAGACCGAGAAAGCGAGGTTATTAAATAGATTATTAGATGGCATTATTTGACCTGAAACGAAGCTTGCCTTCTCGTCCTTGCGGTTTTTACGAGTTGATTTTCACTTTTCTAGTTTTCGTCCATAAAAGTAAACTCGTTTCATAATTGTATCGTCTAGATAGTTTTCCAAGTGTTTTTCCTTCGAATTACATTCGTAAATGGTTTTTGTTTCGTTTATTTCGCGTTTTGCTGTTTGCTTTAAGAAGTTTGTTTACATTTGACAGTAAAATTACGCGTTTTGGACCGCGGTCGATTACGGGAAAATAATGGACACGCAAAAATGTTTCTGAGCCAATCAAAGCGCATCATTTAGCCGGAAGTGACACTTGCCATATAATAATCATCATCAATAACCAGTAAGATTTTAAGTTTGGTAAATATTGCGAAAGTGCTTAAAAAATATTTTGAAGTAGTTAAGACTTTTTATTCATAAAACAACATAAATAAACGTTTGCACTGATTGGTCTATAGCTGAGTTTGTATTAGTTTTTGTGAACTGATCTGAGCTCAATTAATTAATCAATCAAAGAGAATTTGCATATCAATCATGACTACATGTTAAAGGAAAAATAAAAACAATTCTCTGAAACTTTCGCATTATTGCTATTTAAGATAAGAAATAAAAGATTTTTTTGTGTTGGCACAGGCTTATGCAAACCTTGGAGAGGCTCATGAGAACTCTCAAACAGGTGCACTGATCTGCTCTCAAGTTCTCCCAAAGGACTCTTCCGTTTGCATAAGCCCGTACAAACACAGTGAAAATCTTTTATTTCTTACTCTGTTCTATTTGTGGCAGAGTATTTTTCATTGTACCTTATGTGAAGCAATGTCCATATCAGTGATTGGTGCTCCCTTATGATCTTGGATCAAGCGGACAGTGAGGCCAGTAGCAGGACTACTTAAGGCTACCACAACATCTGTACTACCACTCATAAAAACACGACCTATATAACAAATTCATTTCCAAGGTACGTCAAAATTGTCAATGTTCAGTTTGACCACTAGAGTTGAACTACAATTAGACTCGATGATTTTCATAACCAAATAATCAAATAATCTACCATCCTAAGTTATACTTAACAAACCCAAGTTATAAAAACAACACAAGTCAACATCCACAAACCCATCTTATCCTCAAACATTCCAATATTCTTGACCACACCAAGTCATCCTCAGCCATAACATTTTATACTTAAAAATCCCAAGTTATTCATAAGCTCCAAAGTTATCCTTAACAAGAGGACAACAGGGGGAAGATGAAGAACCAACTATAAGGTAGATACCACACATACCACTGTATACTAAACCACTTATAACACTGTGCTCTACAGGTAGATATCGCATACATCACAGTATACTATAGTTAGATACTACAAATATCACTGTATATTATAGGTGGATACCACATATACCACTGTATACTATACCACTTATATCACTGTATACTATATATAGATATCACATATACAGGTGGATACCACATATACCATTGTATACTATAGTTAGATATCACATATATAGGTAGATACCACATATAGTACTGTATACTATAGGTAGATACAACATATAGAGATGAGTTACGTTTTGGTCCCGTGTAAGTGAAAGCTTTTATTTATAACATATACAAGCGCGCAAAAGATCTCTTTATCTGTGACATATGAAGATCCTGAGCAGGTGTAAAAAGAACCCTTTATCTGTGACATATGAAGAGCTTGAGGAGGTTTAAAGAGATATCTTTATCTGTGACACATGAAGAACCTGAGAAGGTTCAAAGAAATCTCTTTATCTGTGACATATGAAGATCCTGAGTTGGTTTAAAGAGATCTCTTTATCTGTGATGTATAAAGAGCCTGAGCAAGCTCAAAGAGATAACTTTATCTGTGACATATGAAGAGCCTGAGTTGGTTTAGAGAGATCTCTTTATCTGTTATGTATAAAGAGCCTGAGCAGGTTTAAAGAGATCTTATTATTGGGACATATGAAGATCCTGAGTAGGTTCAAAGAGATCTCTTTATCTGTGACATATGAAAAACGTGAGCAGGTTTAGAGAGATCTCTTTATCTTTGACGTATAAAGTGCCTGTGCAAGTTCAAATAGATCTTTTTATCTGTGACATATAAAGAGCCTGAGCAGGTTCAAAGAGATCTTTTATTTGTGACATATGAAGAACCTGAGCATGTTCTAAGAGGTCTCTCTATCTGTGACATATGAAGAGACTTAGCAGGTTCAAAGAGACGCTCAAAATGATAGTTTTGTGGTGAACACAACTCTGTAAATTATATTATTTTAAAGCCTTGAGATCATAGCAAAATATCATGATTTAGCTAAGCGTTTATGGATAGTTGCATTTTAAGACGTCCATTTTAGTTTGCATCTTTTAAGCCGTAATATTGTTTCTAACTTACCAATAACAATAATAATAACAATGATAATATGTTCAACCTATATAACTCAAAAGCAGTAACTAGTAGTTTTGTGTGTCCTTGTGATAGATAAAATCGATAGACGTGAAACTTTAACTACAAAAAACTAGGTCCACTCTTTCTCAGTAATGACCTTGTCAATGAAGCTTTATTATGGGTCATTTGCACGAAAAGCAAATCTGTTTAAAAATTTTTCCTGACTATTTAAAAATCTCTTGAAAGAGAAAAATATAAGATTTGTAATGAGCCATCACTGAAATAAAATATTGCTTCTAAGATTACAAAATTCCTGTGTCGTAAAGAAAATTTAAACAACTTTTTACAGGTTTGAAAATTTACTATCCAATGGATTATGCTATACGGGCTTCGTACAACCGGCCCCCGTTTTAAAGTTGTGTTAACTCTCACCTTATTAATTAATGGTGGAAGCTTGCCTTGAATTCTCAACTATGCTTAAGACCTTACACTAACATAAAAATATCACAATTTATTTTGTAAAGCAGAGCGTTTTAAGAGCTCGTATTTCCCGACAATAGTTTTATATAAATAGTATATTTAAATTTGAATGACGACGAGAAACATGCTTCAATTCACCTGATCGACAACTTGAAATTGCAGCGTTTGTTCGAGGTCATCAGAAGTCCAGACTCTCAAGCTACCATCATCGGAGCAAGTCACAAAGAATTTGTCATCAGGACCGCTGGCCACCAGTGAAATTATCTAAAACAATCACGTGGTTGAAGATGGTTTAAAATCCAATATTTTCACTGGGGATTAACACAGTAAGTTACCTTCTCTGTATGACTGCTGACAAGACGAATAGACGTCCTCTCTGTCCAGTTAATGTACCATAACGTACCTCCAACTGTACCAACAATACCCTAAAGTACACACCACACACCTGGAGGCAAGCAATTCACAGGGAAAACATATTTTAGAAAATATCGAAAACCTATTTTTAAAAAGGAAAACAGATTTCTTTTTTCTTCCCTTTTATTCACCATTCTTTAATCTTCTCACTGACGAAGTCTTAAAATTTCCAAGAATGTGTCGAATGAAGCAGAAATCACTCCGGCGTCCAAATATATTTCGTCTTCGATAACCAATCAATTTTGATTCAATCTGAAAAAATATGGATTAGCTTTCGCAAAAAATGAAATCTAGAACGCGCTTTCTCGTGAGATCAAAAACTTCATCAACCCCACTAACGCAAAATTATCACAACACCATTGAACTATTTTGGCAATCCTAAGTTGAAGACTTTCCCCTTAGTGTCTGGGTGATAATCATCATGAAAAAAAATAATAACTGAAAAGAAACATACACATCATTCTCTCCGGGCAATCTCATCTCTCCAACGCCTACAACAGACCAAAGACGAAGATGACCCGATGAGCTTCCGGTAATCAGCGAACCACGATGACACACAATTACATCTAAGAAGAAAGCAAATAACGACTGTAGAACTTAAATTCAAAATGAATTTCATAAAATTTATATCAGCATGGCAAACTGAGTTGAAACCATAAATAATATGACAAAGAAAACAGATAATATAAATACATTTTCTTACCGATTTCAGAATCGTCACAAAGCCAGTGCATAAAACACTTGTTTTGTCTTTTATCCCAAGCGGATATAATTCCTAGAAAATCAAAAAAAGTAGAAAAAAGAAGAAAAATTTCAAACACATAGAACGAGAAAGAGATACGTAAAGTCAACAAATATTTTCAATCATTAAAAACATGATCGCTTATTTCATGGAATATTAATGAAATGTGAGTAGAATTAGGCGTGAGTTTTGACAAGGACTGGTGCGAGTTGCCACACAATACGCAATCAAAAAGAAACAAAACCCACTGTGACTTTGTATTAATATTTAAGTCATGCTAAAAGAGCAAGGAAAATCTTTGGTAGCTACAGTCTTTTATAGTCTCCTTAAGAACAAAACATCAAAACCAAAGGATAAGCCATTGATCTTTCAAGCTTGAAAACAAATATATTAGGTCCATAGAAGATGAAGTGGACTGGAAGTTAGCAATAAACCAAACCATTATTGTTTCAAACATACCAGCATTATTGCCTATATATAGCACATTATCACCAGCATAGCGGACACTAGTAAAATGTACCATGGAGTCATTCTGTCGACGAAAAAATAGCAAAATATCACAAAGACAGAGAGATTATAATGAAGCAAGTTTCAGATTAAAAGTGAAGAAAACCTGCTTTGAAGTGTATAACAAATCATCGGGGACTTTCCCTTCGCAAACCTAAAAAACGAAGGGTCGTCCTTCATAAATCTGAATAAAAAATGTGGAAGATCCTAAATCTGGAGATCAAATTATGAAATCATTAAATTATTTTCAAAAATCTGGAATCTTGGAATTTAGTACTAAAATCCTATATCTTAAAACTGGAATGTAGAAAACGCTTATCAAAAATTAGAATCATTCAAACTTTTATAAATTGAAACATCAATTGATAAAATATATATCAATATACGTACCAAGACATACACTATCCACCCTATGTTACCTCATGAGTACTCACATTCATGTTGAAAGATCCACGAGATTCTTCCAGTAACCAAAACAGCACGTGACCATCTTGTCCAACCGACACGAACTCGCTCATCGTATAAGGATCCCATGCGATGTCATGGATTTGAGTTTTAGTATACGACGATGTGAGTACATTGTACTTCTTAGTACCCCATATTACCATGGAACACTCCCTTTAAACTCCGATTGAGATCAGAAAACGATCATCTCTTGAGAAATGAAGGCCAACAATCTCATAGGAGTGATATGTCAGCATCTGAATATAAATATAAATGCTGCGATTTATGTCTCAATATAAAGATTAGAGACCAACTGATCGTTTAAAAGAAATTCACAGGTCGTTTGATTTAGGTAGTCCGAAGAAATCTGAAGATGTGTCTGATTTCGTTAATCTCTACAGATTTACAACATCTTTCATCTAAGACAGTAAAAAATTTGTGTCATAGACACCATAAAACGTTGAAATATCCATCTACCCATTATTAAGGACAGCCCAGGAATTTCGGTCGAGTTATAAAAATTTCAGATCATTGGCAATATTGAAATTTTTTTACAGCGAGTGAACACCTAAATAATTACATAGCATGAACAAGCTTGCGGGCTGGCTACGCCACTGTCTCTACAGCTAAATAATTACATAGCATGAACAAGCTTGCGGGCTGGCTACGCCACTGTCTCTACACCTAAATAATTAGACAGCATGAACAAGCTTGTGGGCTGGCAACGCCGCTGTCTCTACACCTAAATAATTACATAGCATGAAAAAGCTTGCGGGCTGGCTACGCCAGTATCGCTACACCTAAATAATTACATAGCGTGAAGAAGCTTGTGGGCTGGCTACGCCACTGTCTCTACACCTAAAAAATTACATAGCATGAACAAGCTTGCGGGCTGGCTACGCCACTGTCTC